GATACAGTAACCAACTGGACGAATTTCATCCGATTAGAAACTCATGATTATATTATGAGTGAAAAATTAGGAGGACCGAGAAAAGTTGTACAAATAGATGAATCTCTTTTTAGAGGTCGTCGAAAGTACAACCGAGGAAGACTTTTTCTTGATGACTTTATGGAGAGTATTGATGATGCTCGTCGTAAAATTAATTATGGCGAACGTGTCAATGGACCATGGGTTTTTGGAATGGCAGAACAAGGCTCCAGGAAAGTCAAAATGTTTCTTGTAGAGAAACGAGATAGAGACACTTTGCTGCCACTGTTGCTTAAACATGTGGATACGCAAAGTGTCATTGTCTCGGATGGATGGAAGGCGTACTGTGGATTAAACTTGTAATTTTGTGGCCACAATGTGGTAAACCACAGTGAGAATTTTATTGACCCAACAACTGGGTATCATACTCAGTTGATTGAGTGTATTTGGAGCCACGCCAAACTTAAAATAAACGCGAATAAAAGAGGAACAACTATTTCTTTATTACAAAGCCATTTAAGCTTTTTTTGCTTTTGTTACCGATTTAAAGGATCGGAGTTTGAAGAATTTATGAGAATATTAGGTGGCGAGCATTAATAAATTTAGTTGATTTTTTTATTTTAATTTATTAAAATTTATGGGGCGCCAATCCAATTGACGGATTAAAACTAAAAAATGGAGCGCCAATCATGAAATGGGGCGCCAATCAAAACAGTGCCTGATATTCCAAATCACACTGTCAGTAGTTATATTGTAGGATCTTTTCAAGTTCTGAGAGGTGATAGGAGATAAATCTTTATGGAATAACATTTACAGACTTATATACAAGATTTAGTCTTATAAAGTTTGTAAGTAGAATTAGAAGTGAGGGATTAATTGATTCATTTGAGAAAAAGTGGTTTAAACTTATTGGTAAACCATGTATTATGTATTCTGACTTAGGAAGACAATATATCTCAGAAACTTGGAGAAATTATCTTAATACAAAGGGTATTGAATTTTGCCTAAATTCTGCCTATAATCCACGGGAAAATGGAATCTCTGATAGACTTAATCAGTTTATTGGATTTGCTATGAAATTGTATGATATGAGAGATGATGATGAATTATAAAAAATTATTGAACTCGCTTTTAATTACTGTTATTGTAGAACTATTGAGTGCTGCCCAATAGAAGCTATGTTTGTAAAATCTATTTAAATATAAACAGCTTAGATAGAACTGTAAAAATTGAAAGATTAAATGAAAATGCAAAAGAATCACAATTAAAAAATTTTAATTATGAAAATAGTGAATTGTTGAAGTTAAAAGAAGTTAACAAAGGTGATAAGGTATTAGTTAAGAAAGAACTAAGAAGAAAAACGGATGAACTTTTTGAATGACTTTTTGAAGTTTTAGATGTAAATGTTAATAAAAAGCTTGTTTTGTAGATTATAAAAAGAAAAAAAATAATAAAATTTTACAAGGCTGGTTTATTTTAATGGAAAAGAAGTGTCGTAACCGAGGTTACTTACAATTGACACCTATCATTTTATTGATTCTTGAAACAAATGTTTTAAGTTCTCTTTTTTTGGTATATAAACAAATAAAATAAAAGAGGATATACATGAAAATGAGAAGTAAATTTATTTACAAACATTTTAAAGTTTTTAAAGCAGCTAGCCATCTGGGGCACGACATGCAGCCTATCGTAATACTACATAAGTAAAATTGGACGTAAATACGTTTTTGCAAAATTTCTACATTATAAATTAATTATTATATCCATAGAAGTTAAGATGAACAGAGGCAACTTAGAAGATAGATATGAAGATAATGAGGTGATAGTTATAGACACCGTTAATAGTACTGGCGGATACTTAGATAACGCAAAAGATTTTTAAAAAAACTTTTATTCATCATATGCTGATTTCGGCAGTTATCAATACAAATTTTAAATATTTTTAAATCTACTGCCGAAGTCTGCAGAAGATGCGTAAACTAGTTTATTATTATTATCTAACTGATCTACATTGTCTTCAGTTACGTTATCTATCTCTATCTCTTCAATTGTTAATAATTCTAGAATGTCTCTCATGTCCATTTTCTATGGGTTAAATTTTTATAAAATATTTAAGTTTAGTTAAATATTTCCAAATATACCTAATTTACGCAAATAGAGTAACTTCATTACTGTGAGTCACGACACTACTATTTCTCTTTACTCAATATTGTATAAAAAGTTAAAGTTTTAATTGTATTAAAACAATGATTAAATTTTTTATAACATCAAACTTATTTTTTAACTCAAAAATTACATAAATATCTAATAAACAACTATAAAAATGTTATTTAATAAAATATAAATATCTTTTTATTAATCAGAATCATTTGTATTTATAAAAAAACTAAAAACTTAAGTCTATTTTAATTCGAAAATTTGATAATATACTAATTTCTTGTCTTTATTATAAGATGTTAGTTTAAAGAGAGTTTTTTTTCAAACTTAAAAATTTTTAAAAATGGTTTGAATAAGAATCGAACCTACAAAATCAAAGACAATTTTAAACTGTAAAGGAATTAAAATTTAATAATTAAAATAAAATATTTATCTTAATTATTAAATTTATCTAAAGAATTGAATATTTAAAAAATAAATATAGTTTTTCTAATACATTATTCTTTTTATTATAAGATTTGTATTAAATAAGTCTTATTTTTCGAATTTAAATATTTTTAAAAACGGGTTCTTTTAAAATCGAACCTACAAAAACCAATACTGTTTTCTTAACTGTAATGGAATTTAGAAAGTTAAAATATAATTTTATTAAAACTCTTTATTTGTATTTAAAATATATTTAAATAATTGAATACAGTGGTGGAAAATAAAAATGAGACTAACTTTAAGTTTTCTTTTAAAAGTTATTCTTATTAAATTTCATTTTAA